CATTCTGTAAAACACTTTGAGAAGCCACCTTTAAAGGCTCTATATAAAATAAAGTTTATTAGTAGTAGTAGTATAGGCTTTGATGCTACAAATATTAGGGTAAAAATACTTTGACTGTAACACTTTTTAATTTTAACTTCATAATTTATTTTAGACTCTCTTAATGAACTTCTATTAACTTCTATTCTCACAGACAATTATATGATGACATTAAAATAAGTTTTCAGTGTCAGGAAAATTGAGAGACGACCTTAGTCAGGAGATATTTTTCAAATGGAAATATGAAGATGTACTAATGTTTTTATATGATCTGAAAAATTGAGAGACATTTACACCCGAATTGCTGACCATTGAGGACAGGAGGAAGATAATACTTCTATCAATGATGGGACTGCAGATACTGGTGTTGGAGATATTATTAGGAGTTCCACAGAATATGACAAAATGTTGGCTCATCCTTATCCTGATCTCCTCCAGACAGCTGTTTATATTTTCCAAGCTTGTTACCACATCAGGTTTGGTTTTGATATACTGTACAGCTGTGTGTCCAACACAGTCTTTCAAATTCTGCAGAAGAATGCTAAAGTCTACAGTGTCAAAGGCTGATGAAAATCAAGCAAAACAAAAATGGATGGAGACCCAGAGTCAGCAGCCATTTGTAAATTCACAAGGGCAAATATTCACAAGGGCAGTCTCTGTGCTGTATAAAGGTCTGAAAGTTGACTGAATTTTTTCAGAGTTGCTGAGAGTTTGCTCATGTAAAACTGTAAAACAGTAGCAGAGTACAGTTTTCATCTCTGACATTTGAGATGAAGGGGAGGTTGGAGAGAGGCCTGGAGCTGAAGAGTAGGTTGGGGTCAAGGTTAGATTTCTTCAAGAGGGGAGAAACAGCAGCTGTTTTGAGCAGAGATGGCACTTGTCTAGTCCCAGGGGATTTATTGATCAGGTCTGTGATAAACTGTAATAAATGTGTCTAAAGTAACAACATCCATAGTTTCTGTATTTCCAAGCTGCTATTTCTTCGATTTGTGATTTGTCATTCTAACAGATCTAGTCCAGTCTCACATGTCATTCAGAAACTAAACTTTATGTTTTAACAGTAGATTCTGAGATCTGCCTTCAAAAATGGAGTTGATTGGATTAATAATAAATATCATAGATAATAATTATCAGACATCTGCAAATGCTAAAAATATATTGAAATATTTTCTCTGATGGCTTTTATTAGCTAAAATGTAAATTCTAATTATTTTTTATTTGTATTTTTAAGTTTCATAGCTTTTTTAATTTAACTTAAATATGTCTACAAATTGTTTATGTGTTTACTACACAATATACATAAATGTTGTTTAATCTGAGCTCTATTCAATGTTGAAGCTGATCTGCAGCTGTTCTCAGCCTCACTGATTCCTGTTGATGAACCAGAGCAGCTCCTCTAGAACTGAGAGGGTTTTTGTACAGACATGTATCACTGTGTGAGCACATCCTTGCTATTGATGTAGTGACGACTCTGACAGAAATAATCTCCTGCATCTTCAGCCTGGACTCCTGTGATAGTCAGAGTCAAGTCAGTTCCGGATCCACTGCCACTGAAACGCTCTGGGATCCCAGACTGACGGATTGTCGCCCCATAGATCAGGAGTTTAGGAGCTTCTCCAGTTTTCTGATGGTACCAAGCGAGACAGGGGTAATATGAGCCACTATAATAACAACTGCTGCTGTCCACTGAACTGCTGGTCTTACAGCTCACAGTGACTGTCTGTGCTGGGAGAACAGATGTCACTGCTGGAGTCTGAGTCACAGTAATCTGGCCACTGGAACCTGGAACAAAATAAATAAATACATGTATTACTACTCTATGCCAGAAGCCATATCACCCTGCAGCTCACAACTGGCAACCCCCTGAAGCTAAGCAGGTTTGAGCCTGGTCAGTACCTGGATGGGAGACCTCCTGGGAAAAACCAAGGTTGCTGCTGGAAGAGGTGTTAGTGGGGCCAGCAGGAGGTGCTCACCCTGTGGTCCAGGTGAGTCCTAATGCCCCAGTTTAGCGATGGGGACACTATACTGTAAATAAGTGCCGTCCTTCGGATGAGATGTAAAACCAAGGTCCTGACTCTCTGTGGTCATTTAAAAATCCCAGGGTGTTTCTCGAAAAGAGTAGGGGTGTAACCCTGGCATCCCGGATAAATTTCCCATGCCTCCTAATAATCCCCCTCTATGAATTGGCTACATTACTTTGTTCTCCTCCCAACCCCTCCCACTCTGACGGCAGGCGGAGCGACACGCCGGTTGGAGTATTTCTCAGTCGCAGTTAATGGCAACGTCAGCTCAGAGATTTGGTTCAAACCACCAAATGGAGACTGGTGTGCCAACAAGCGGACCCTGCTGATGTGGGATTAACGCTAGGAAAGAGAGAGATATGTATTACTACTGTATGATTATTATTTTAGAATGTCTAAATATCTGTAATACTTGGAAAAGATCACCCTGCAAATAGTTTCAGGATTTAAAACATAATATAAAATACTTTCACATTGCAAATCTCCCTGTGTTAATGTTTCATTGCAATCATTTCATTTCTACTCACCATGAAAGAAGACAAGTGACCAGATGAAGACGGTGATGAAGGTCATTGTTGCTGTGGGTTCTGTTGCCATGAAGGGCAGCTATCAGTCATGACACGTTAAACTCACAGGGCTATTAACACTCCCAGAGCACTGAAGTATGTGCTGCCAATGCAAAGTGTCTCTTCTATGCAAATTGTCTTCCTTGATAGAGCAAGACTTTTAGCCAAGAACAGCTGTAAACACAGTTTGTGCACTGAGGTTTGTGAAGAAATGTCTGCTGGAATCTGGTCCTGCATCATTCTGAATGACAAAAAAAACAAGGTTTTTGCATCTTCATCACAGGAGTATTCCAAGATTCACTTCAGGCAGCAAACCCTGAGCCCATGTATACCTCATGTTTTCCAGGTGTAGTTCATTCTGATGAAATTTGGTTTGGGATCTTGTTCTCTTCTAACAGCATATGACAGTTATTGACATATTTTACACACTGTTGTTCTCATTAAAGCACACAGTAGGAATCAGTCACAGTTCAGCCCTTTCAGAGTCACTGACACACACAGGACAATGATGCCACTGATTGTACTGCTGGGGCTCTTTGGGGCTATGGTGCTCTTCGCTCAAGGTGAGGATTAAAACAAAAATCAGTCTAACAATATTTGACTTAAAAGTCTAACAAAGTTAACTTTAGATAGATGCAGTTGTGTGCAAAAAGAATCATATATGGAAAGGTTAAAGTTTAATTACTGTATATGACAGGGTCCATTGTGCAAGACTCTGTTACTGAAGGTGTTGTCACCCTGTTGAGCCCCAGACAGTGTGGAATTCTCCTGCTGTAGGAGACTCAGTCTTCTAGAGGAGCAGAGCTCTGCTGTCTGGTAAGTGGTTCTGTACAGCTCTGAGGCTACAGCAGACTGTGATCCAATCTGGGCAGAGGAAGAGCTGGATTCAATACAGTTAACAGCTACTCTCTTATTGGTTAAGCTCAAGAGTTACTCACAAAATAAAAACACACATATTAATTCAATCTCATTACAATAAATTTAACACATTTTAAAAATTAAAACCCAAGAGTCACATTCATAAAAGCTCACAAAATGCCATG